TCTTTGTTTCATTGATTCTATGTAATATTTTCCTAGTTTCTACTTATTGTTTTCAGCTCTCAGGTTGATTATTTCCTGGCATCTACTCCTCCTTGGTGAGTTTGCTTCTTTTTGCTCTAATGCTTTCAGTTGTTCTGTCAATTCTCTAATGTGACTTTTCTCCAGTTTCTTCATGTGGGCACTTAGTGCTATGAACTTCCCTCTTAGCACTGCTTTCAGAGTGTCCTATAAGTTTGGGTATGTTGTGTCTGCATTCTCACTAGATTATATGAAGTCTTTAATTTGTTTTTTATTTCTTCCTCAACCCAGGAATGGTGCAATTGGGTGTTATTCATTTTCCAAGAGTATATAGGTTTTCTGCCATTCATATTGCTGTTGAATTCTAGCTTTAATGCATGGTGATCTGCTAAGATACAGGGGGTTATTTCAATTCTTTTGTAACTATGGAGGTTTGCCGGGGCCTGTCTACTTCAAGCCTGGGGAGATCTGGGTGAATGGCGCTTTGGACAGGAGTTGGGTAAGAGCAGGGGGTCACTCACCTCATTGTGATCAGTTGGCCCAATGTTGGCTATTTTATGGAAGTTCATTATGAACTTTAATTGTGTTTCACCATAGAGAAAATAGTAATATAGTATTCGCTGTGGATAGAAAACTTTAAGTTTCTGAATAGCTTTGAGAATTATTGGCTTAAGTCAATGAATTGTGACACTTAAAATATAAAAGCATGTTATTAATAGTCTTAAGTATATTGTTAGAGCTTTAAGCAAACTCATATTTATTTTTCTGTATGTTATCCATTAGTTCATGTCATTTATTTTTGCTTCATTTTCTGTCTTAGCTGCTCAGTGAATCTGAATCTCAAGCAGTAAAGCCATTCTTGCTCTCTGCATCCTGAGAACCTAACACTGAAGGAGACCACTTCCCTGAACTTACGGTATTTTGAAACCACCTGCTTCCCCATTTCATTCTGGATAGGTGATTACACATGTACATAATAAGATTAAACTTTAATTTTTCTTATATTCTGGAAATTCCTGAAGTTTTTCACCTAATAACTTTGATTATTGAGTGATTCACTTTACACTAGGCTATGCCTTTTCACAAAATAGTAAATATCTTGTTTGTCTTGAACACCAGACATTTCAGAAAGATGAACATGTAGTATTTATTTTCCTCACTAACTGCTTTCAGGAAGCCTGCAAGGTCAATGTGAAATGGAGATGACAATTGTGGATATTTTTAATTAGTAACCAACACACAGCAATAATGTCCTTAAGGATCTGATGATTCCATACATAATATGTTCTATTTTCTATGTGTTGGAGGGTTTTATTTTGGTTATTAACTCATATTTTCCCAGTTTGCCTTTAGGCATATGGATTTATAATTTTCTTTCCTTTTATAGTTTTAATTAATTTATTATAAAATAAAACCCAACGAATAATTTTGAAGTTAAACAGTAATGACTTTCCCAGTAAGTAGTAGTCCAATTTTTAAAATAATTACTGATATTGAAAAGGGAATTTAGCTGAGCGTTGGTGGCACACACCTTTAATCCCAGCACACGTGAGGCAGAGGCAGGGGGATATCTGTGAGTTCGAGGCCAGCCTGGTCTACAGAGTGAGTACCAGGATAGGCTCCAAAGCTACACTGAGAAACCCTGTCTTGAAAAACAAAAAAAGGGGGGGATTTACCTGAATCGTCAGTAAATGAAAAAAAGCTACAACATGAGCTTATGAGGGGATACAGATTAGCTCAACCTTCATTATTCTCCTCAGCCTTCACCATTAAACAATATTTCATTTGTGGGATGATGTATAATACACACATGGTTTTCAACCATCAAAACATTTGGTTTTTGTAGAAAAAAATTCATGTATGTCATTTAGTATAATGTGACATACTGGTAATTAATAAGATGAGGAAAATATTGACACTGAAGAAAATTGCCAAAATTTCTGGAAATCATGGACTTTACTCTGTATAGTCATGTGACTGTTAGCAATGTTTTGTACATTAACATAGTCGTGTTTGAATGAAGTTCAAAATATGAAATTGGATATCTATGAGTATCTCTCAATGTGTGTATATTTCCCACACTCTCCCACTCTCACATTTATATTGTAAGAAACTAAGATAAGATTATAATATTGTTTAAAGTAGATTTTATTTAGT